TAACAAATTATAGATTGGTCCAAATGATAGTTGAGTTCTTCTTTGAAAGTCAATTGAAGAATCATAAGGACAATGCTCCAAAAAAATATTTATATTCTTCTTCTCAAAAATATCTTGATAACTTCATATAAGCTATAATGCAACTTAAGTCTTTTTACTTTTTGAAATAGGTGTAGCATAAATAACAAAAGATGACATTTCTTTAGCAATATGAATAAAAGTTCTTATACCTAATAATAGGAAATTGATTATATTAGACTTATGGCTTTTTATTTGATTAATAAAACTCTTTGTTATGCTTTAGAAAAATTTAAGACTATAAAAAATTTATTCTATTTAAAGATTTTATTTTTTTAATCTTAATAAACTCAAAATAATTAGATTAAAAAGAGATATTATAATATTAAATATTACTAAGTTATTATGACTATTTTTTGTTAAATTTATATAAAATATCTTATAGATAATATCTTTAAAAGAAAATAGACAACTATCTATGACTTCTACATATAAAAGTCTAATTATTAAAGATATTTTATAAATTTTAAGAAATTCTTCATTCAAAAATAAGTTAAGGCTCTTAAAGATAATAATATAAGGGCCATATGATTTTTAGGTCCTAAACAAATATCTATTGCAAAACATAAAGAAGGTTTTGAAAAGATAATAAAACCTCTGCTAAATATTGTACAAGATTCCAACTGCACAATCTTTGTTGTAATTAGACAAACTTATATTTTCACATATTATCTTCTTTGATAGCCATACTCTTGATTATGTGGTTACATTGCTTCTTTGAACAATATTGAATATAGTACTCAGATTCTCTACAATATAATCATAATTATTTTTCACAACTTTGAATTTTTATTGTTTAATAAAAAATTTAAAATATGCCATGACAATTTGCATGTCTTAATTTTTTGAATGTATGTATCAAAAAGGCATAGATATTGCCATTGAATTGTAAAAACTTTGAAGTCCACTTATGTAACTCTCAAATCAAAATTTAAAAAATTAATTGTTATATTTCATAGTAAAATCAATTATTTGACTCAATGTTTGAGGATTAAGTAAGTTTAGCATTAATTAATTTATTTTATATTATAAACTTTGAAAAAAAATGGCTGATTTATGTAAAAAAATCTCACTTGATATTAATTGTAAGTTATCTAAATTATAAAGTATATAATGTTATTAATTATTTGTTTTAAGCAAAATAAAAATCTTATTAATTGCAATACAAATTGCATCATATTATCCATACAAAGATCAAAACTTTGTTAGAAAAGCCTCTAAATTATTCAATATTGGATTTTTTTTATCCAAGATAAGATAAAAACCATGATAAGGCAAAACCAAAAAGTAGTGTTCTAATAAACATGACTTGTGAACTTGGAATTGAACAACTTTAAGTTCAATCATCACTTGTGCTTCATTAATGAATCTTTAAAAGTTTGATCTTGTATCATCAAAATTCTTAGGTAAATCAATTCTTGGTTCTTTTAAACTTGACTAATGTTCCATTATAAAAATAAAAGTATGTAATTTAGTATAGATGTTGAACTAACTTCAATCATATCTATATCTTCTTTTCTTGCTAATCTTATTGCTCTTTGTAGTAGTAAATTGAGTTGATGTATCACAAGCATTAACTCCTTCATTTGTTCTTCCATTTATACCATTGCACTCTTTATTTCAACAAGTTTTGCTATAATAATACAATAAAAATAAAAAAAATAAAAACCATTTAATATAATTCAAGACAAATAGAAGATAGGATTTATAAATAAGAAAAAATCTAAAATAAATATTAGTTTAATAGTAAATATTCTTCAAATTCTAATATGCTTATGTCTTATCAAAAAAATAGATTAATTTTCCTATAATTAAAAAGTAAAAAAATTCTAATATTATAAGAGTATTCTTACCAATCTGTCAAGGACAAGAACTCAAAGAATGTAAATAATCAAGTAAGATTTTTTTCAAAGAGAGATGATTAAAAAAGAATTAAATAAATATGTATATTTAAAAAAATAAATAAAATTACTATTGCTAAAGACTAAAAAACTAGAGAATCTTGAAATTATATTAAAAATAAAAAATAAATTAACAAGGTTGAAGAAGATGTCACTCTTATTTCTATATATACTATCTGATAAAGAAATACATGGCCGCATTCTATAGAACCTCTAACATGTGTCTAACTTGTAAAATATGTGTCTAATTTTCAAGACAAATTTCTTACATATGTATTACATGTCAATCTTGTATCATAAGTGGCCAATATGTGTGATACATAGCCAACTTGTTTGTTAAGTTTTCAATCTACCAATCACTTATAAATAAATGTAAAGGTAAATTTGGATCTATGAATTTTTTAAGAAGCTTTTTCATAATATATTATCAAATTTATTTATTTTTACTTACTTTTATATATTTTTATTATTTATATAATTATTGGTGTAAATATATATGTCCATGACACAACCACAAAAATTAGAAGAAGTACATTCACTTTACTTTGATTATTTTAAAAAAAATGATTTTAATTTAAGGCTAGTTGATAACATATTTAATTGTGAATAGAACATTACAACCATTAAGCTTATAAAGCTTGATTTAGAGCATATTAAATTACTAAAAATTAGTTTAAAAAATAATAATATCAATGTTGAATTATTTCATGATAATTATGTAAATAATTAGCCATCTTTAGCTTTGTTATTATAGCAAAAAGACTTCTTTGTATTTAATGCAATGGATTGTAACAAATACATGCATTATATTGAGATCAAGGACTTGATAGACAAAGAACTTACAATGGACCTAATACTTTTTAAGACTATGAAATCACAAATCACAAAGAAATGTCTCTACTTTCAATTACAAGGAGCTTGTAGTACAACAATTTAGGAGGATATACTTTACTAAATCAAATAATCTTGACATGAGACCCTTTTGTATCAAAATCTTTAGTTTTTGTACAAATAGATTTACATCCAAGTTTCATCATTTCATCTAAAAAAAGCTAATAATTCCACAATAATCACTGATACATTCAAATATATATATATATATATATATATATATATATATATATAATATCAAATAATATATTTAAAAATATGTAAAATTTTATTTGTAAAATTTATGATTAATTTTCAATATATATTTTTAAAAATATTAATAATTCTTCAACTAAGTTTTAAAAATTAGATATTAATTATTTAAAACTTATATATTACAAAATTATTATATTATAGTATTACAATAATATTTAGATGCTGATATGTTAGTTGTCTTCAAAAGAAAACCATTTCAAACTTTAAAAGCATTAAAATTTCTTTTAAACATCACTTTAAAATATTGATTAATATAAAAAAAATAAAAAAAATAAAAAGTAAAATAAATTATAACTCTAAAAATATAAATAATTGATATTTAAAATTATTTATTATAATTTCATAATTTTTATTTATTTTCTATTTTAATATGTTTTTATAATAATAAAAACTAATTTTTAAAAAATAAAAAAACATAAAGTATAATTATTAAAAAATTTGATTAAGTGATGCATATAAGAACCTAGTTTTAAATATTTTATCAATGAAAAAGATATGTAAATTTTTTAAGAGTGTTTTTTGATTTTAAAAGCAGGTATTTCTTGAGCATGGTAATTTTGTTTATGTATGCTACATTAGAGAGTAAGAAAGAATTGAAATCAATTTAATGATCAACCCAAGGCAAGGATGTGATTAAAAAAATAACATATTCTTAGTTGTGCAGGTGAGCAAAGTGAACATAACTTTTTAAAATATCATTTATCATTATGTGAAGCAACTATAATATAAATTATATATTTTTTTTTGTTAAGGTTTTTTACAAACATATTCTTTAGAAATCTAGAAAATGTATCCAAAGCTATTGTGAATATATATAGTAATCAATAAAATTGGTTAAATAAGGATACTTACAACAAATGTCTATTTTTACAAAAATTATTTATAAAGTTAGCCACTATCTTTTCTACATAAAGCAAATTTGCTTGAATGGTAGCCTTTGAACTCTTTGGTTGTTGTGTCATTGCATTAGATTAGTATACAATAGGTCCATTTCGAAAAAAATTATACATCTTTAATCTCATCCTCCAGTTGAATTAGAAATAAATTCTTTCTTACAAAATATGATTAAGTTTTATTTAGAACAAATAAAAGTTTTTACAAAGTAGGAATAAATGCATGTAAAATCAAGCAAATGAAACAATGCAAAAGGCTTGTAGAAACATCAGGGACATAGAGGCACACAAAAAGTTCAGTGTGTCACAATATTTAAATGAGGAGATTGAGAGGGAGAATGACAACGCAAAAAATAACAAAATAGAGCACAAAGATTGGAGACATCAAACTCATAGGAAAAAAGAACCAAGCTGCCCACATGAGGCTGCTTGCATGAGCCTTGCCTGCTGAGGCTAGTCAGCAAGGTTCTGCAAGCCCATGGGCCAATCTAGTATTTCAACAAGCCCTCAGTGACAATAGTGGTGAGGGTGGTTGCCCAAACTTTCCTTAACCTACAAGCCTTGTGACCAAAGCTTGGAAGTATTGTCCATGCTATTCAGGTATTGTCCAATCCTTGAACTCATTGCACTTCTGTGCCTAATCAAATTTGCTGCATTAGAAATCTGCCAATTTAAGTGACTTATGAGTACTTGAAGATATAAAGATAATACGTGTGCTTAGTTTGAGGACCCTAATGACCTTGTCATGAAATTCGATTATGCTTCAAGAACAAATCGTAACAGATGTTGCAAAACATGTGGAGACACTACAGACAGCAATTTAAGCATGAAGGAGACTCATGGTTAAGTTGCATAATTTATCGGAGAAATTTTTCCTATAAACTCAACCTGATACCAGTAAGTCAAACCAGCCCATTCCAGCATCCCGATCAAGACATAGAGAGTCCTCAGAACAATATGCGTTTTGAGTGATGACAAAGAATGAGATAGGAAAAAAAAGGTTGGAGAGGTATTAAGGGACCTTGAGATTGAGCCTTCCTGTTGATTACAAAAGCCCACGGTTAAATGGGATCATGGAGATCTGTCATTGGAAATAAGATCAGATGCCTGACGTTGAAGACAGCAAAAAATTGAGCTCAGTGAGCGATTCTATAATAGTACCCCATCTTAAGCAAATTCAGTTATTGCTGCGGTTTCTTCTCCTGCAATTTACTGAGTATTCCTCCTCGACCGGGAAACTTGGTATCCTGCTCCTTCATGTCACTACTGTTTGAGAGGAGAGCTTCTCGTTGTGCGGACAACCTTTCTCTTCTGGCTTGCCGTCGTCGATCAAGCTCATCCCGCAAGCTCCCTCCGCTGCCTCCGACTGGGGTCCCCTCCACGACAGGAGTAGATGCCCATTTATTATTCACCTAAAACACCGACAAAAACGTCTACTTCAAAAAATTGCAAGGCAATGCGAAATGTTTAAATGCATTTGACTTTCAGGATAAAGCTTGACAGAATCTATATTGACTTGGTTTGGCATATAATATACATTGACCAATAAATTAGAGCCCTTAGTATTTACAGAAATAAAAGAGGTTCATAAATTCGTGCGGTTACTTACCTTCGATAACCTTGACGTGGCAGACTTCTTTCTGGGCAGCCCTGGGCTTTTAGTCACAACCTTCGGCTTAGGCTTCTTCTCAATCGGCACCCTAGGAATCTTACCCCCCTTGGTGGTTCCAAGCAATGCAAAATCAACTTTACTCCAAGCTGCCTCGTTGTCTAAGTCCCATCCATATATGCGCGCTGGGGCGAGAGCATCTTTGTTGTTGGAAAGCTTAGCTAGGTCATGTGAATGTACTAGAAGTTTCTCCACTTTCTCCCACTCTATTCTGTCCAAGTAAAGGGGGTCGTCCAAAACTTCCTGAGCATAATCAGCCCATTCAGAGTATATCGTGCCCCTCAGATTTTTCGTCATCCATCGAAGGTAACTGTTACACCACAGGGCCAACCTCACCTTCACACAATGAATAACTTACTCAATTAGAGTAAGGTGAAAAAACACCATCTCTATTACTAACTCAAGTCTTACAAGTGGAAGTCAATTTCAAAATGTATACTGCACCGAACAAGAATATAGAAAGGTGGCATTTACAGTAAGTATTCAATCTTAAACGTTGTATCGCGTTATAACGATGACTGACCAATTATTCAATTAAGTAAAGACTATTCAGATGTATTTTACAGTGAACAGATACTTCAGAAATAAGCCTAAAAATATTAAAGGAAGATCAGAGTCCCTGGTATCCATGTGTTGATAACTTCTGATCAAGAAAAAATGTATCTGTCAAATTAAACAACCCCTAAATCGAGTTCGCCAACTCAAACCTACATAAACCTTCCCAAAAGAAAACACACAGCAAATTCAAAGCCGGGGAACAGAGAATCAGCTTACCGAGAGGAAAGGGTGCCCAGCATGCTCCCCTTATTCTTCCCAAAATCAATAACCCGATCCCTCGCATACAAATGCGCTGATGCACTCTTGTTTCCGGAACTCCGGCTACAAGCATCCATCGCAGTCCGGCGAGATGCACTAAGGCCACACCCATTCATAGAAGACGATGAAATCGCATGTTTACCTCCCCCACGCAATCTCTGATTAAAAACAGAGAGCACCACCCTGTCGCCCCAATCCTCTCGAACAATCGACCTCCCGGATGCTCCTACCGACATAGACACGCCAGCAAAGGTCGCCATCGCCATAAACCCTGAGAGCCTCAAGCCAATGCAATCTTGCCGGGCTCCCTCGCACAACATACCAACTCCCTCTTGCAAAATCACCAAAAATCCGGCTCGCTAAAACCAGCCTCGCGTCGTTTCAATCCCATCGAAATGGGGAGGCTTCATCCTGTTCATGGTGCGACGATCATGAGGAGATGTAAGGGGTTATCGTCCACTCAAGGTTTGAACACTGCGGCCCGCCATCGCCAGTGGCGGCTCAAAAAACACTGGTGGCGGAACACAACGCCGCGGCACCAACGTACATACGCTTTTCCACGGGTTTACCATCCCCCTGAGTTGGATAAGATCCCCACCCTTAACCCGGACAGGGCAGAACATCCCCCTCGCTGGTGTCAGCTGGGGCCGAATTTCTCCGAGAAGCATTCCATGGTACTGTTTTTTTCTTCATCTATGAATGGATGTCAGGCAATTTTAAGGAATAATGTTATGTCTATCCTTGTTCACTAACAAAAATTGGGTGAAGGGAAGCAAAGACGAGTAGGGGCAAAGGTTGAGGGGAAGGGCAAGGGAGAATTGACTAAGTATTAACATGAGGACTCAAAAGTGAACTTAGGTAACAATTCATGCAACAAGATTGAACTCAAGAACTGCACGGTGCTACTACTCTATAGCCAATGCACCAGCCTTTTTACAATATGAGTTTATTCTTTAATCTCACATGATTTAAATTGATTTAGGTTTTGTTTATTTTGTTGCTTGCTTGCTACTTAATTGTAATATATATGGTCTTGTTTGAGAATGCATAGGGCACTTGATTGTAGAAGGAAAAGTTGTATTTGTAGCTAATTAAGAATCCTTATAAACCTTGATAAAATCCTAAAGAAACCTAATTGGATCCTATTAATTCTAATCAAATCCTAAGAAAATCCTAACCATATCTTAATAAATCTTAACTAATCCCAAAGATATCCTAACCAAATTCTAATTATATACCAACCAAACCAAAACTAAATCTTAAACAAATCTCAAGTAAATCCAATTCAAATCCTAAAAAAATCATGATCAAATTCTAAATAAATCATAATTGAATTCTATTAAATCCATATTAAATCCTAACTAATCTTAAATCAAATTAGAATTATAATTACTATTAATTTAATTATTTATTTTGATATTTATTTGTATATCTATTAATATCCTAGTTAATAGTAAGTTTAAGAAATTTGAAGAAAATCATACTTACAAATTAAGTGAAAATGCTCATAATTTCTTAAATATTGATGGGTCTTTTTTTGACCTCAATGTTGAAATTTTATTGCTAATATTTCTTTTTTGTACCATTTATTTGATTTTGAATTTTGCTCAAATGTTGGAAATTCAATCATATATCAATTTATAATATTTCACTTCAATCCAATAAATAAATTTCTAAAAATCCAAGAAACTCTCACTTATCTTCAAACTCTGATTTTTGAGATTCTAATCCAATAGAATTTCAATAACCTTTAATTTGATTGTCTAACAAAAGAAAAATCTAAAATTTATATCCAGTACAACAAAATTCAAAAACTTACATATATCCATCCTTCAATCTACCACAAAACTTTTAAAAAATATAAAAGTTCAAACCTTATTTTATTTCCCAAAGAAAAAATCTCTTATAATAAAATACTAACTTTGTAGAGCTTTTAAAAGTCATCACAAAATTTATCCAAAGTTAATGCTCAAAAAAACTTTATCAATTGTACTCTCTAACTCCTTTTATAACCAACAAAAGAACCTTTTATTTGTTATAGGCATTTGATTTTGTATCCTAGGATGTAATTCCAACATTGATTTATAAATTATCTTTCTTAGGTATTAATCTATAGTTTTTTTAGATAATATTTTTGAGAGCTATTCTTTACTTCTACCTAAAAATGTCTATGTATTATTTTTGTTAATCTATTTTTTATTTATTTATAGTCCTAAAATTAAATAAAATCTATTTTAAGAAAAAATATTATATATATATATATATATATATATATATATATATAATTTTTTAACTTCCTTCTATAATTTCTTTATGATATTTAAATGAGTTTTTTTTGTTTTTTTTTTGTTTTTTTTTTTATTAAGTCTTTAATTAAACTCTTTTATAATATAGATTTTTTTTCTTTTTTTTTTTTAATCTTTCACCTAATAGTTATGTTACAACATGATAACAAATCAATTAAAACTTAGATTATATTATGGATTGATAAAAATTGTTATAAAAGCCCCATTTAAGGATAACTTTACCAAAGTGTACTTATATCAAGTCATTATGTTTGCTTCAACTATTCTTGGATGTTTAGTTGGATGTCAAATAGTTCTATTGATTTAATTGTGATGTATCTATTTGTGCATATATTTGTCATAATTAATTAAGAAATTAGTCACAAATATTGGAGTAAGTTAAGAAACACTAGAAGTAGATATAAGAACATGTACAAGATATCTTAGAAAAAAGAAAAGATTCTTAAAAACAAAAAACAAAAAAACAAAAAAACAAAACAAAACAAAACAAACAAGAAAAAGAGTGTATAAAAAGAAAAGAGGGCTACAAGGTCCAAAACTAAAATTCCACTAACTAAATTCTTTTTATTATAAAGAATTTTAATATGTATTTTTGATATTTTAACAAAGATATATTCTAACTAGTTTGTCAAAAATTTGATACCTATATTGACATGAAATATATATATATATATATATATATATATATATATATATACATATATAATTTAGTATAATTTAGTATAATTTAGTATGTTAATTTAGAAGTTTTGATATTAAAAAATATATATATTATAATTCTTAGTAATCAATTTATTAAGACTAAAATAAATTACATGTATACACAAAGATCTATCTTTTTCTTTATCAGAGATTTGACATATCTACAAAATATTTAAATATTTAATAAAGATTTTTTACAAGATTTTTATTAATATTTTATTTTAAATCAAAAAGTTTATTGTGCAACAAATTATAAATTTTCCAAATGATAATTGAGTTTTTTCTTTAAGATCATTTATACAATCATATGATTAAGATTTTAGCAATAAATTAGTATTTTTTTCAATAACATCTTAATATCTAATATGCTATTTCAATATTCTGCTACAACCATTATTTGAATAGATACTTTGTGATGCAAAAATGACAAATTATTATCCTTATTTTACAACTTGTATAAATGTCTCAACTCTAATATATATAATAGTTAATATAGTTTACTAATTTCTAATTAATATCAAAATTATATAACTTAATCAAAGAAGGCTAAGTACTAATAGATTTGAAGGACATAAAATAATATTAAAGATAATATTAGATATTCAATTTTTTGATGTCACTTTCAAAAAATAAGACCTTTTTATGATATTTTTAGATGCAAAAGATTATCCACCAATAATTTCTACAAGAACTAGCCAATTATCCTTTAATAATATTATTTTTTTGTTGTAATATAAATTTTTTATCCATAAAATATGTAAAGATTTTGGTTTCTAAAAGAGCTTGAGCTGAAAATTCACAACATGGAATTTTAACAATTATTGGAAGTTTATAAAAAGATACAGGATTTGGTAGTAGTAAGAGACCTATATTTGATGGTTGTGGTCTAGAATTGTTTGATAGAAAAGCTCCTAATACACTTTGATATCTTTGTTTTTTGACTTTTTTGTCTTAGATTTTGTAATTTGTGCTTTGAATCCATTTGATTTGATGCAACAATCTTCTACTTTAAGATTTTCTTTTACAAAATAAACACAAGTTTTTACAATTATGTATGTATGTATATGTATATATATATATATATATATATATATATTAGTGTTAAATATTTATATTATATTTTATTAATTATTATAGGTTTTGAATCTTAATAAATAGATTTTTTAAGACTTAAAATTTATCGTCATTACTTGATTTTTTCTTCTTCAATCTAATCTTTTATTATTACATCTTTTAGATAATTGAATATTTTATGTAATTACTTGATAATTTTTTTTCTAATAAATCTATTATCAATACTATCAATTATAAATCTTTGATGTTATCTTTTAAGACATATTAAAATTGATTGATAAAAATTTTATTGCTTTAATCTATGTCATAAGCAAGTTATTAAAATTCTAAAACATATATATTAATTAAATATGATTCTTGTTGCAAAGATTGAAGTTTTGTCTCTTTTTTTCTTTCTTAATTTTTTATTTTACATATGGCCATGAATATTTCCAAAAATAAATTTAAATGATATTTAAGCTATGAATATTTTTTTATAAAAAATTAAAATTAAAAAAAAATACTTTGGAATAGAAATATGTTTATAAATCTCACTTAAATAAGTTCATTAGGGCTTCTAAATAATAGAAAATACTAAAAAAATACATATGATTCTATCCAATTTTATAATTGGAAATAAAGATACTCAAATTAATAATAAGAATCTAAAGAAATCTTCTTGAAAGATCCTAAAATTTAGCTTTTTTATAGATTTAGAACAAACTTTAAATCCAATCCATCTACAAGATGTTTTAATGCCAAAAATCAATAATATTCTAGTCATGTGTTTTCCTTCAGCTCCAATCTTAATCTTATCTTTATTTGGAATAGAAATATAATCCACACACATTTGTAGTAATCCGTCTTTTTTCTTCAGAGACAAGATAAGAGCTCCAATATAAGATTTTGAATGTTTTATGAAGTTTTTAGCCAAATTTTTGTTTATATATTCCTTGAGTGCAGTCAATTTATTTTGTGACAAGTTATAGATTTGTCAAAATAGTGGTTGAATTCATTCTTGAAGATCAATTGAATAATAAAAAAAAATAATGTTCTAAAAAACTATTTGCATTTTTTTTAAAAAAAACATCTTATCAATCTTGATATTAATTAGAAATGTCACTTAAAGACTTTTCAATATTAAAAATGGATGTGGCATAAATAACAAAATGTAATCCTTTTTTGTAGCATACATGAAGACTCTTGCATCTACCAATAGGAATTCGGACTTTTGACTTTCTACTTGGATAGTAGAAATTTGAATGATCTTAATAAAAAAATCAAAGTTACAAGAAATCTAATTTATCAAAAGATTATATTCTTATAGTCATGATAAATCTAAAATAATTAAATTGAAAAAAGATTTAATTATATTAAATATTATTAAAATAATATATCCATTAATTATTACATCTAAAGAAATAGTTTTATAGATAAAATCTCTAAAATATTTAAAAAAAAAAAAAAAAAAAAAACAACAACAACAACAACAACAACAACAACAA